TGGGTTTTTTAGCTTTATTTATTTTTATTTTTTTTAAGTAAGCTCTACGCCCAACGTGGGGCTTAAACTCATGACCCCTGTATCAAGAGTCGCATGCCCTACCGACTGGGCCAGACAGGCGCCCCGCCCCGGCCCCAGCCCACCTCTTTGGAAGTGACGCTCTCCAGGTCACTGGTGTCCAGCACCTCCCACAGCTCGGCCCGGATCGCCTGCTCCATCTGCTCCTGTTCTGAGGGCCTGGGAGCCGAGCCCGTCAGTCGGGGGACCACTCCCGGCTCCGCCATGGCTCCCTCCCCTTTCCTCCCCTCCCCGCACTGACCGGGCAGTCTCAGTGCTGGGAGGCCGCAGAGACTCCAGGTCGGCCATGGCCGTCCACTCGTTGAGGCAACTCTGGTCCGAGCTCAGCCTGTCCTGGTAGTGTCCGGCCCAGGTAAGGGCGCTGCCCCCGGGCACGAGACCGCTGCCAAGAGCCGCCTCACAGGCCTGGTGCAGCACCTGGAGTGTGGCCCTAGGACAGAGGCGAGGCCGGGTCACTCCGTCCTCCCTGCCGCCCCTCCCCAGACCCTGCCGCCAGCTCTGAGAAGAGGAGGCTGGCCCGAGACTGGGCCCCGAACCCTTACCACATGGTCTGGATGGAGATCGGCTTGAAGATTCGGCTCTGCCCGCCAGACGTCACACTGAAGCCCCTGAGGGAGACCGGGTGGCGGTAGAACCCAACTCCAGGCTCTGGGACAGAGCCCCTGAGAGGCCGGTCCTCAGAATACGTACACATCATTTGGGCTTCAAAACGAGCCCCATTTGCCACATATGGGGTGCGGGGCTGAGGCCTAGAGAAGTTAGGTGACTTGCCTAGGATCACACAGCAAATCTGAGGTAGAGCTGAGTCGGCCCAGGCCCCAGATACCCAGCCTGGATTTCTTCCACTGCTCCCCACTGCATAGTCACCACCCCGCTGAGCGCCCTCTCCCCATTCTCCTCCCTCCAGTTACCATCGCTTACCCGTCTCCGTCCAGGTACACCTGGGTGTCACTCCACAGGGGCAAGACCAGGCCCAGGGTGCAGCTCGGGGAGCTGGCAGGGGACAGAAGAAAAGCCATTGTTCCCCAGCATCTCACTTCCTTGCCCCCCTCCCTTCCTCCCCCTGCCCCCCTCCCTTCCTCCCCCTGCTCACACCTGCTGTCGGGGAAGTCCACTCCCAGGAGGACTGTCTCCTCCTGGCTCTGATGTTCTCTTGTGGAAACTACCAGCAGGTAGCGGAGCCGAGGGGGCCGCGCTGCCTCCAGCTGGGCTGCCTGGGGAAGATGCGGGGGGAGCCCAGGGTCACAAGAAGACCCTGCAACCCCCCCCCCAACCTGACACACACCTGGGCCTAGAACAGACCCGCTTGCTCAGTGCCCTTCCTCCTCTTCCCAGATCCCAGACCGGTGGTTACAACCCAGTGGCTGCCAACTTTTGGATTTCGTGGTCCAACAAAATGTTTAAGAAGGTTTTTCTCTTTTCTTTTTTTAAATGTTTATTTACTTGTGAGACAAAGAGGGACAGAGCTTGAGGTGGGGAGGGGCAGAGAGAGAGGGAGACACAGAATCCAAAGCAGGCTCCGGGCTCTGGGCCGTCAGCGCAGGGCCTGACGCAGACATCGAACCCCCGAACCGAACCAGATCATGATCTGAGCTGAAGTCGGCTGCTTAAGCAACTGAGCCACCCAGGCGCCCCTAAGAAGATTTTTCTTGAAGGGGGTATGTGTGGAAGAAAGGGGAGAATGGGCCTGGCACACGTTGCCCATCTTCAATTTCTGCCCAGGAAAGAGGCTTAAAACAACCACCACCGCCTTTGCTACTTGCCCTTACCAGCACTTGATTCAAGAAAGGTTTCTCATCAAAGAAATGCAATCTCACAACAAAGGACAGTGCTGCTTTAGGAAAGGCTGCCCGCAGTTTGTTTTTCCCATCTTGCCCGCAGACAGATGTCCCGCAGGCATCTGGGAACTGGTCCTGGGCTCCCACCTGGGCCCCTCCGGGCCTGGCGCCCCTCCAGCTCCGCAGGCTCCCGAGGGCCAAGCGGGCCTGAGGTATGCGCACAGCTCATGGGGTCAGGAAGGTCTTGTGCTGGTCGCACAGAACCCCAGTTCCCTGCTCTTGGACCTGATGGGGCCCTACAGGCTCACACAGGGAGCCCCCCCCCCCCCCCGTCACTTCCCAGCCCCTCCAGAGACCTGAAGACATGACTGCGCCCTGTTAAAACAACTAGCTGAAACGGGAGGCTCATCAGGGTCTGGGGAATCCGTATTACAGGCCCTCATACCACTGCTCCCCAGCAGACACAGGCTGGCTCCCTTCCACCCTCGCCTGCCCCCCTGCCCGCCCGCCCCCTCCACCGACTCAAGGGCTGGCTCTCTCTGCCTCTCCCAGGGCTCTGGAGGCCCCTCACCAGGCGGATGTCGTCCTGGGGCCTCAGCAGCTCCACCATGAGGTGCAGGTGCTGACTCTGCTCCTGCTTCCGGGGACTCTGGGGCCCCTGTCCATCGTCTGTCTGGTCCCCGTGGGGCTGTTCTTCACCCGGGGGGCCCTCCACTGCCTCGGGGCCAGCATCGGTTGCTTCTCCATTGTCCTCTTCGTCCTGCAGCCCCAGGACAGCCCCACGGAGCACTGCAAAGCTCTGCCTGGCGGGGCAGCAGGGAAACCATTTTACGCCCCGTCATACCCCTCCTCGGGACAGGTGGGCATCAATCATCCACTAGGCTTGTTAGAACAGGTGTTGGGCCTCATTCCGGGAGTCAATAGGTCTGGGGTGGGGGCCTGAGAATGCGCATTTCTAACCAGTTCCCAAGTGCCCAGGCCACCACATTTGGGGAACTACTCTCTTAGAGGCTCTCAAGCCCCCCACCCACTTGTTTAAGGGTGGGGGGCAAGGATTGCTCCCTTTCCCTTCCCGCCTGCCTATCTCAGGAGACGCTGTAAACTATGGGGACCCAGGAGTACTCGGGCTCTGTTCTCCATTCTCGCCCTTTGGCTTGTGGCCTGAGCCAGGGTCCGGAAGAGTGGCGGGGGAGTCCCACTGACCCGGAGGAAGGTAAAAGCAGAGGCGGCCAGGTCAGCGCTGCAAGCCCACCAGCCGTGCCCACTGGCAACATGGCCCGCATATGCAGTGGGTGGTCTGGCGTGAGCCCCCCAGGACGGCAGTGGCCAGCCCTGGTGGCTGGAAGTAGTTGTCTCTATTGGGGAGAGGTGCTCACCTTCGCTGGAGCCGGCTTCTCCGCTTAGATGCCTGGTCCTGCTGGGAAAGCAGCCCCCAGGGCAGGGTGAGGTGGGGGGTGGCTATCAAGGCTGCTGGGGTGGGGTGTGGGGATGGGATCGCCCCCCCTTTCCCCAACTGGGGACTGGACTGGAACCAGGAAAGGTGTCAGGTCCCTTCCCACCCTAGTCCACTCCCCATCCGGAGGCACCGGGGGAGCCTGGGCCCAGGTCCAGGTAGGGCAGCTGGGGTGTGAGTGGGTGGGGGTGCTGGAGGTGTCCAAGGGGTTGGCCCAGATCTGGGCCTGGAAGAGGGCAGGGCCTCTGCAGGCTGGGCTGGTGCTCGGGGCTCCAGATCTTGCCCTGGTCTAAGTTCCTGGGAGCCTCCAGACCCCCTCCCAATCCCTTCCAGCGAGACACTTGGGTCCCCTCCCCACACCCCCTGCCTCAAGGGGAGGCTGGCAGTGGGCAGGACGCACTCCCCCGGGCCCAGCTGGCAGCCAACTGCGTGGGCCGGAGCTCGGCAAAGCCAGACTTACCGAGGGCCCCACAGGCGTGGAGTGGCCGCTGGCCGGGGGGGAGCGGCTCACCGTGACCAGGGCCATGGGGCCAGGCCGGGGACACCTAGGCAGGTCCGGTCCGGTGCCCTCCCACAGCCCCACGGCCAGTCCCTGCCCCGCAGGACCAGGAAGGAGAGACGGGAGCCACCAGGGCCTGGCACCTCCTCGGGGGCGGCCCTTAAAGGGCCAGATACGCGTCCAGCCCTCGTCCAACCCGGCTCTGCGGAGCCAGCACCGAGCAGCCGCCGCCCCTCCCTTCGCGTCTCCTCGGTTCGGCCGCCTCGCCCCCGCCCCCTGAACACGTTGGGGGCGGGCCCGGGGCGGGGCGCAGGTGCGGAGCGCGGCGACTCGGAGGGAAGTGGCCCGAGGTCGGTCCGGCAACTTGCGGTCTTCGTTCCGGGGGTTCCGGGGTTCGGTCCCTCCTCCCGGGAGCTGCCCCTGCCCCTGCCCCCTGGCTCCGCCCACCAAGGTCACCTGAGATCTGCTTTGGGCTTCAGCCGTTCGGTTACCTAGCAGAGAGGGGACCTAGGGAGGCAGGGCTGGAGACACAGGTCTTGGAGAGGATCAGACAGAGTAGGTCTTAATTTGGGGGGCACCCCAGGATGACTTCTTCTTGCTGACTGGCCCTCACGTTCCACTCTCTGCACAGATTATTCCTGGGAAACATGTAGAGCCTCAGCGGGAGCTCACGGCGGTCCTCGCGGCCACCTTGGTGGTGAGCAGGGCAGAGCGGGGCAGGCTCCCGCTGCAGCGCCGGGAAGTGACTTGTCCAAAGTCGCTGGGATAGAACGTGCTCTGATAGAACCGGCAGGAACCCAGGCCTGGGGTGCAGGGGGCTCCTCCCAGCTGGCTGACAGCAGTCTGGAGGCCCAGCCTTTCCCCTCCGTGACAGGAGCAAGGGCGGATTCTGGGAAAGCCCAGTAAGTGGCAGGAGGAGCCTGGGTCCCCAGTAGCCGGGACGAGACTGCAGGGACTGGACGTTTATGAGGCACCTACTCTGTGAGGGACTTGACTATGTTGGTTTGTTCACGTCACCCAACAGCCCCGGGGGCTGGGAGGTGGTCTCATTTTACAGCTGAAGAAACTGAGGCTCAGAGAAGCTAAGGGGGCCGTAGCCGGGATTCAGACGCAGATCTGAGGCCGATGCCCGGAGTCTCCCCTCAAGGCTGCCTCCCCCACCATGTCTCCCCATCGAGCAGAACAAACCTGCTGCTGAAAGTCTCTTTATTTCCACCTGGGTCTCCAATGCAAGACCATCCCCAGGGCTCCAGGCCCCCAGCTCAGCAGCAGAGAGTTTATAAATAAATAAATTACAAAAGCAGGTGGAGGAGCAGACCAGACAACCCTCCCAGGGGCTGGGTGCTCGGTGCTCAGTGCTCCGTGAGCGAGAGCCGCAGGACCCTCTGGAAGTCTTCCTCTTCCTGCTGCCCCCGCCGCTCCCGCTCCTCCTGCTCCCTCGAAGACAGCTCCAGGGCCAGGCGAAGCTGCTCCTCAAAGCTTGGGGGGGCCGGGCCCGGGGGTGTCCTGTGAGGGGACTCTGGGCTGCTGGGCTCTGTGGACATCCGCAGGCTTTCATGGAGGGCCCTGCCAGGCAAGGCGTGAGGGGGGAGAACAGACCAGTGAGCGCTAAGGCTGGGACCTGGGGGACGGGGGGGCGGGGCCTTGGAGAGGGCGTGGGGTCCTGGGACCAGCACCTCCCCACTGCCCACGGCCGCCAGCCAAGGACCCGCCGGCTGGCAGGCTCTCCGGGGCAGGGCATCCTAGCGGGCCTCACCGCTCCAGCTGCAGCTGCTCCTCGTAAGCGGTGGCCTGGGGAGGAGGGTGGGCACCGGGCCGGGTGTTGGTCAGGGCTTCCCAGACGGTTACCTGCAGCAGACGGAGGCCGGAGCTGCCACCTCTGGCGCCCCTGCCCGCGCCCCAGGCCTGGCCCCTGCCCGTGCCCGTGCCCCACCTGCTCCGCCTCCGCGCCTGCCTCCAGCAGGCTCTGCCGGATGGCAAACTGCAGCAGGTCATCATCCTCGTCGCGAAGGGGCTCATTGCGCTCCGTGCCCAGCACGCTGTACCCCTCGGGCACCTCAAACACGGCGGGGTCCACTTCACAAGGGAAAGGGCTCCCTGCACGGCAGAAGGGCAGCACTCAGCCCCAGGGCCCAGAGACCAGCGAGCAGCAGCCCCTCCACCCCCCGCCCCCGGCGGTACCTGAAGCTGTGACGGCAGAGCCAGAGCCAGAGCCGGGGGCCGGCACCCACACCGAGCTCAGGGGCTCGTCACAGCCGCACAGGTTGCTGAAGGTGATGCGAGCATTGAGCACGTGGAAAAGGGGGATCTCTGTGAGGAGACAGCGGAGCCTGAGCCGGAGGCCGGCCCCACCCCCAGGAGCTGCCCCAGACCCTTGGCTGCCCCAGACCACCCCTCACCAATCTTGACCGGGAAGCCGGGGGGGAGGCGTAGGGTGATGAAGTCACGCAGCTTGGCAAAGTGCGCGTTGCTGATAGCCATCAGGTCAATGATGGGCGTCACCTGGTCACCCAGGGACAGTGGGTGCTCCTCGCTCAGCCACAGTGTTGCCTTGAACCTGCACAGGACGTGAGTCAAGGAACTCCTGGTGGCGCCTCTGCTAAGACCCACCCACTCCGGACACCTGCCTTGACTCACGCCCTCGGCCAGGCCTGAGGTGCCCCCTCGTCTGCTCAGCTGCCCCCGCCTGCCGCCCCCAGGAGCTTCCGTCCTTTGGTCCCACCGCCCGGGCTGCCCCCAGACCCTGGGCCCAGGCTGGGCCCTGTGGCAGCTCGAGCCAGCTCAAGTCCTCTGGATGAAGAGGGCAGGGCTGGGGCTGCTGGCTTCAGTCATGGCCTCGCCCACAGCCAGGTCCTCCTCCCCAGCCCACAGCGGGCCAGCGCCTCACACTCTGCCATACTTTTGGGTCCAGAAAAGCCCCGAGGTCAGGACGACCAGGGCTCGAACCTCCACTCCAGCACTCAGGGGCTAGGTGTGCCTGTGGTTCCTAGGGCAGTGCTGGGCTCGTGAGTTCTATGTCACGGCTCATGAGATCCTCCTAGCACCCTTGTGAGCAGGCGGCTAAGAGTGAGTGGTATCTTACTGAGGAAGAGAACAGACTCTCGGAGGGGAAGACATTTCCTAGGGCCCCAAAGCCAAAGGCCAGAAGCTGGCCTCCGGTAGGTGCTCATTCAATTGAATAGAAAACCATAAATGGGTTGGTGCTGCTCATTCGTTCATTCGTTCGTTCGTTCGTTCATTCCTTCCTTCCTTCATTCCCCAAAGAAGAGTGACCAATCCTCTGGTCCAAGCCCCCTGCCAACAACCAGGGACAAAACAGACCTGGCTCCTGTCCCCAAGGAGGAGAGTCTAGGAGGAAGCCGGTGGGCCCCAGGTGTGACAGGAGCCTACAAGGGGCTCGGAGGACCAGGCGCATCCCTGTCCCCGAGGGAAGTCCCCAAGCCAGCCCCAAGGCCTCACCTCTGAACTTTGCTGGACATCTCAATGGGGCGGCCGATGTTCCTAGACTCCAGGCTGAAGTTGGGGTCGAAGTATTCACTGGGGGAGATGGCTGTGGGGTTGGTGGGGCTGGCGGCCTGCTGCACAGGAGTCTGGGAGGGCCCCAGGACCGGGCTCAGTGCTCGGGAGGGCGGCTGCCCGGCCCTGCCCTGCGGCCCCCCGCCCCCTGGGCCTGGCTCACCCCGCTGTGAGAGGAGTGCTGCTGGGCCATGCCGAGGAAGGACTGGAACGGGGTCTTCCCGCCTGAGGAGAAGGGGTAGGAGCCCGTGAGGAGACCCTGGGCCACTGCGCCCAGACTGCCCCCACCCCCATCCACCCCGGGAGCCTCCTGGAGGCGGGGGACCCGAGCCCACGGGAACGGGGAGGCCTCCCAGCTTGTGCCCGGGGCTGAGGCCCGGAGCACGGTGACCCGGCGTGGGGTGTGACTGGGCCGCAGGCAGGCGCACCTGGGTTTACCTTTGCTCCTCGACTTGTCCTGGTCAGAGAGGTGCTCCGTGCGAGTGCGTGTCACCAGCTCCACATTGGTGGCACTGTATACCTGGGGAGCAGGGGGCACACGGGGGGAGCTGAGGGCTCAGAGCCTGTTGCCCACATTCAGCCTCACCAAGCCCTCCTCTCCGCGGGGACAGACAGGACCTCGCCCCCCACAGTGGAGGAGGCGGCAGGGTCTGAGCCACGGGGACTCAGCAATGAGGCGAAGACGCTCCTCATTTCCACTTGGAAACCTGGGTGGGGGCTGGGGCCGGGGCGATCCCTACGTGCTCGGCAGGGCCTGGGCAGTCGCGCCCCACTCAGTTCCCATGGCCGCACGGGGCTTCCAGAGTCCACGGGCTACTCTGTCCCTCTTCCACGTGTTGGGGGGGCCCCACCACTAGCCCCGCCTGCCTTGGCCTCGTAGCCGCTAACGGTTTCCATCTTCTCAGACCGCCAGCCCCAGATACCACATTTGTTCCTGAAACAGACCAAACAGGAGCTCATGAGGACCCGTGCCCCTCAACCGTAGCCGGAGCCTTCCCTTCCGGAGACCCCTTCCAATTAGCCTTCCCACTGCGCAACACGCAAGGGCCTTGAAGGGGCTGGACGGCTGGGGACCACCACACAAGGACTGGGGACTAAAGAGTACTGAGGGATTATCGTTCATCCTGTTACGTGGGGTAATGGTGTTGGGGCTTGTTTGGAAAAACATCCTTCTTTGTTAGAGTCATGCACAGCGGCATTCACTGTTAAAACGATAGGACATCTGGGATATGCCTTAAAATAATCTGGGGTAGGGGCGCCTGGGTGGCTCAGTCGGTGAAGTGTCCGACTTCGGCTCAGGTCACGATCTCATGGTTCACATGTTCGAGCCCCGCATCAGGCTCTGAACTGACATCTCAGAACCTGAAGCCTGCTTTGGATTCTATGTCTCCCTTTCTCACTCTGTCCTTCCCTCCCTCTCTCTCTCAAAAATAAATAAATAAACATAAAAATAAAATAAAAGGAATAAAAGGGGTAAAAAGGGAAAAAGCAAGGAAGGCTAGAAAGATAGGCAGAACGTTGGTACGTGTGGAAGCAGGGTGCTGAGGACTTTCTAACTATTTTCTCTCCTTTCATACATACGTGTTTGAAACTTGCCACAATAAAAAATGAAAAATAAAAGGACAACAACAATAAGTGCAAGCGATCAGCAGCCTGCTTTCAATAATGGACAGGACAAGCAGACAAAAGATCAACAAGGACACAGAAGACTTGAACAACCCTACAAACCAGACTTAACAGATTTCCCTAGAGCACCCCACCCAACCACAACAGAACACGCATTCTTCTCAGGTGCACATGGAACATTCTTCAGGATGCATCATACGCAAGGCCATAAAAGAAACCTCAATAACACTGCAAGGAGAGAAATCCTACAGACTATGTTCTCCAACCACAAGGGAATGAAGTAAGAAATCGATAACTGGGTAAAGATTTGGGGAACTCACAGATGTGTGGAAAGTAAACAGCACACTAAAGGATCAATGAATAGAGTGAAAGAGACGTCAGAAAATGCTTTGAGGTAAATGGAAGGAAAGATACGATCCATCAAAATTTATGGGACACAGCTAAAGCAGTGGTTCTAGGGAAATTTACAGCTGTGAACGACAAGAAAAAATTAAAAGACCTAAGTGAGTGGGAAATGATCACATGCCCTTGGTAGGGGACGCCTAACATCGTTAAGATGGTGGTACTCCCCAAGTGAGTTACAGATTCAGCGCAAAGCCCATCAGAATCCCACCTGGCTTCTTTGTAGAAATTGACAGACTGGATCTGGAATTCATGTGAAATTGCGAGGGACCCAGAACATCCAAAACAATCCTAAGAAAGAAGAACAGTCAAAAGACACACCTTTCCAATTTCAAAACTTACTACAAGGCAGCACTGAATTAAGACAGCGCCGCGCCAGCACAAGGACCGATGGAAATCAATGGAATAGAATCAAGAGTCAACTGATTTTCCACCAGCGTGCCAAGACCATTCAATGGGGAAAGAATGCACGGTGCTGGGGCAAGTGGATCGTCACCTCTAAAAGAACAAGGTCGGACCCTTACCTCCCACAAATATGAATTCAAAATGGATCAGAAGGTAAGAGCTAAAAAGCATAAAACTTTAAGAAGAAAACATGGGGGGGGGAATCTTTGTGACTTTGGATTTGACGAAATATTGGTAGATGTGATGCCAGAAGTGCAGGTGACAAAAGAAACAACAGATGCACTGGATTTCGTGAAAGTTAAAAACATGTGCTTTCAAAGGACACCGTCAAGACAGTGAAAAGTCAACCCCACAAGACGGGAGAAAATATTTGCGAATCAGGTCCCTGATAAGGGGTGTACCTCTAGAGTATGTGAAGAACTCTCGAAACTCAATGATAAAAAGATAACCCAATTGTTGGGGCTCCTGGGTGGCTCAGCTGGTTAAGCGTCCAACTCTTGATTTTAGCTCAGGTCACGATCTCATGGTTTGTGAGTTCAAGCCCTGCGTTGGGTTGGGCTCTGTGATGTCAGCGCAGAGATTCTTTCTCTCTCTTGGGATTCTTTCTCTCTCTTCCTCTCTCTCTACCCTTCTTGGGCTCGCGCTCTTTCTCTCTCAAAATAAATAACCCAATTGTTTGAATGCGCAAAGGATCTGAGTAGGCACTTCTCCAAAGAAGACATACAGATGGCCAATAAGCACATGAAAAGGTGCTCGGTATCACTACTCACTAAGGAAATGCAAATCAAAGCCACGATGAGATACCACGGCTCACATCATGAGCCATGATGGTTATAATCCAAAAATAAATAAACGACCACTGAGTGTTGATGAGGACGCGAAGAAGCTGGAACCCTCATTCACGGCTGGGGGGCCGGGTGTAAAATGCCGCAGCCCCCTCGGTAAACGGTCTGGCAGTTCTTCAAACAGTTAAACATCCAGTTACCACGTGAGCCCGCAACTCTACTCCCAGGGGATCCACCGGAGAGAAACGAAAACTTATGTCCGCACAAAAACTCAGATACTGATGTTCCCAGAAGTGTTATTCGTAACGGGCAGAAGACGGAAGCAATCCTACTGTCCGTCAGGAGATGAGTCCATGAACGAAATGTGGCAGAGCCATACGACGGGCAGCCGTGGAAGGAACGAAGTGGTCACGTGCTACCAACTGGACGGACTGGGAAAGCAGCTGCTCAATGAGACAAGTCACAAGGGACCCCCTCGTGTAGGATTCCATGCACGTGCAAGTCCAGGATGAGGCACTCTGTAGAGACGGTCAGTCAGGGGCTGCCTGGGGCTGGGGCAGGGGGGTCAGGGCACTGGAGTCGGGAGCTAAAGGATTTCTTTTTGGGGATGAGGACAATGTTCTAAAACCAACTGTGGGGAGAGCTGCCTATCTGTGAACCTGCTAAAAACCGGGAACCGTACCCTTCACAGGTGAGCTGCATGGTGTATGAAATTATATTCCAATTAAGCTGTCGGTTTGTTTGTTTTGTAAGGTGGCTCAGAAGTCTGTTCCTGGAACTGGGACGTATGTTGTCAGACAGAACAGCCGGGCCAGTAGGGTCAGATTCCTCGGCCACCACCCACAAAGGACTCTGGCCCAGAAACGGCCATACCGTGGAGAAACCAGCATGGGGGCAAACAGCCGCCCTGACCCACAGCCTAAATCCTTGCTGTTGTGGGAAAACACGTGAGGCCAGAAGTCAAGGCACTGGGGGCCCCTGACCTCGCCTCCCGAGGTTGCCAGAGGGGATCCGAGTGAGCCGTTAGGCCCGCAGTGACCCCCGCCCCCGTCCGAGCAGCCTCGGTGAGCGGCCCAGCCTCCCAGAGGCCCGAACCAGGGGCCTGGAGGGCACCACCCACAGTGTGGCCGGGCCCCAACTGACCTCTCGAAGGCCACATTTCGAGTGTCCAGGTGGGTGGAGACGATAGGCGAGGTGAGACGGCTGGCCACGTGCTCTTCGCTGGGCCGCATGGCGGCCAGCAGCGCTTCCGGCTCGTGCAGGGCGAGCCCCAGCGTCTCGGTGTGCACCACCTGCCGGTCATGGTCCACCTCCATCACCAAGGCTCCTGCTTCTGCCAGCCGGAATGGGTGTGTGAGGGGGCCATGTGGGCGCTGGGCCGCAGACGGTGGCGAAGGGGCCGCCGTGGCCCCCACAGCCGCCTGCTGCTAAGGGGGTGAGGCCCCAGCCCCTGCGGCCCCTCCACCCTCAACCTCTGTTTCCGCGTCTGGGAAGCGGAGAAGAACACCGTCCTCACCAGCCACGGGAGGACCCGGGCTGCGCTGGCCCGCCGCGTGGCCGCGCTCCGTCCCCCCAGAGCTCACCCTGGCCCTTGAAGATGAAGCTCCTCCGGCCGCGCTGCCAGGTCATGTGCTCGAAGCCCAGGAGGCTGGTGTCCACCCGCAGGCTCTCGCCCCGCTTCCACACGCGGTACACGTCACTTGGGCACATCTTGGACACGAGAGGCACTGCAGGGGTGGGGTGTGTGTGGAGGTCACCAGGGCTCACCTTTCCCAAAGATCCCACCCCAGGCGCCCCCGGAAGCCAAGAGGTCCTCACTCACCCCAGCTGGTGAACTCCCACTTCATCTCCACGTAGAAATCGGGGGCCTGAGATAGACCAGAGCACCTGTAACGGCCCCTGCCTGGTGCCGGGGACCAGCGGGCCTGGGTGGGGGGTGCTCCTCCCTTCTGGGAGCCCAGCCCCTCAGCAAGTCTTAAAGTGCGGCTAGGTCCCAGATACGCCCCCACTACAACCAAACCCCACCCAGCAAAGGTGGGCAAAGTGGAGCCCTAAAAAGGTCTTGGAATAATCAGACGGTAAGTATCTGGGGCCTGGAGGTCAGTCCCCACCTGGCCGCTAGCCTGCTGAGGGGCCCTGGGGGAACTGCTGCTCCCCCTGGGTCCCAGAGTCTTCATCACTGATCTGGGGCTGCCCCTGGGGTGGGGGCCATGAGCTAGGGTGCCCTCCCTGCCAGGCTTCTTCATGCTGGAGGGGGCCGGACAGGAACTCCCGGGGTACCCGCCCACACCCGATGGGTCACACGCAACTCTCTCTCCAGGAAACATGCTGTTCACCAGGAGGCCCAAATCCAAAGCGCTGCTGAGATTTCTGGTCTGAGGGACCTGGGGGGGCGGCCCTGGCTTTCCTCCTACAGGGCCCGATGTCACACGCATGCGGGCCTGGGCGCCCCTCTTTCCTACACAACCCCGGACTGCGGTCCAGAGAGAGGGATGTCGTTTACAGTGTTGGGAAAGCATGTGGTACAGACTAAGCAGGTGCCCAGAGGGACCCACCCCCCGACGGCCACACCCCTCTGCACCCCGCTGTACCTGGCGGAGCTTGTTGAGCAGTTCTGGAATGCCGGCCAGCCTCTGTGTGGCCCTCTGGTAGTCCCGATACTGCAGCACCAGCTGTACCATCTCTGGGTCCCCAGTGCTGACTGCCTCCTGCAGGACTGGGGGGGGGGCACCAGGCCGCTGGGGGGCGGAGCTCAGCCACCCCCCAGGCCTGACCACTCACTGCCGCACCAACCCCGCGGCCAGCCTCGGGGGGAGCCCCTCTGCCCTCTGTAGTACCTGCCCAGCCCTGGCAGCTCTCTTTGCCCACATTGGCATTGTGTCGAAGGAGCACTCTCACGGACTCCAGGTTCCCCAGGGACACAGCCAGCTCCAGGGGAGTGCGCCCCCGGGGGTCCTCCTGTTCAATGTCGTGCTGGGAGAGACGGGACACTCAGCACAGGGCAAGTAAGGAGAAGCAAGAAGGCCACTAGGCTGAACGTGGTTGGGAGTCATTGCGGGAAATAAAGATCGCAGACAGACCATGGAAATGGCCGAGGGTGGCCTGCGGGTCCTAGTAGGAAGGGGGAGGGCGCAGGGGGGAAGGGCCTGTCCACCTCTCCTGCCTTCGGCCAGCAACAGAGCTGGGGGCCCCCCCGCGGTGGGGCCTGGTCAGGCAGAGGTGCGGCTGCAGATGTCAAGAGTTTGGACAGGTCTGGGGACCAGAACCAGGCTGCTTGTTCGCGGCCAGGCTCAGGGGTGGTGTGGCGCGAATTCGGGGGCTGGATGCAGTGTGAAGCGGGGAGACGGGCTGGGCAAGGCCCAGCGCTGGAAGCAGAGGCCAGAGGCTCAAGCCAGAGGGGCAGGTGACCCGGGCTTCGGACCAAGCCTGGCAGCCTCCAAGACGGAGACCCGGCTTTGGGTGGGCGGCCCGGAGGACAGCCCCGGTGCCCGGTGGGCCTCACCTGGCGGCTGTGGAGCGCGGCCTCCAGTTCGCGGTGCCGGTTCGCCCAGACGAGCCGGTGCAGCGGGAAGGTGGGGCCCGGGCCGGCCATGCTGGGCTTCAGCACCGCATCCCAGGAGGGAGGGTGGGCGCGGCGGGGGCGGCCCAGCCCCGCCTCGGCTTCGGGCCTGGCGCAGCCCCCTCGCCTCCAGTCCGCGCCGCGCGGAGTTGCGCCCACCGCAGCCCCCGCGCCCCGCGGCAGTGGCGGCGGCGGCGCTGGCGCTGACGGCGTGGAGGGCGGGCCGGGCGGGCGGGGCTCGCCGGGGCGGGGCGGGGCGTCGGGCCGCGCGCCCCCTTGCCTCCCGCAGCCATGGCAACCGCAGCCGGGCCCGCGCGCGCACCGGGGGCTGGCGGGGGGCGCTGCCCAGTCCCCTGGGCAACTTCGCGCGCCGCGGAAGGAGCCCGGACCCGCGTCTGCAGGACCCAGGCCTCAGCCGGGCCTGGGTCTGCGCTGGGCGGTCTGGTGGGCCGGGCCAGCCTACGGCTCCGCCCTCAGCCTGCAGGGGGCGCCCCATGCCCAGCGCAGACCCGGCTTTCGGGTCCGGAAAAGGGAGGAGGGAGTCCGGGGGCGGGGCGGTTCGGCCAGGGGCGGAGCTTGGGCCCCCGGGACGTGCGCGCGCGTGTGCGCGTGCGTGCTCAGCGGGCTCTGGTCTTGCTGTCCTTGGGTTTTCCGCGTTTTCCCCGCTGCCATGCACCCATGCCCGGGTCTTCCTACCCGCCGCGGGTGCCGACTTTGTCTTGTAAGGGCGGGTGAACTGGGAGACCCTGGCTCCCTTTACCATCACCTCGGAGATGTCCCTAACTGCTGCCCAGCTTAGCGTAAAGCACCTTCCCCAGGGACCTAGGCGTGTTTCATGGTCGCCACATCACGGGCTGGGCTGGCCACGCGGGGAGACGCGCCGCGGGGGCACCGCAGTCAGGGATGGGAGTCCTGGGGGGTGGGGGCGGCGGACCTGGAGCCAGACCTCTCCTGGTGGACTGTCCACCCTAAATGGCTGCCTTCACCCACTGCAGACCGCTTTTGCAGAGGCTGCGCTTTGCTGCCAGTATCAGGAAAGGAAGGAAAGTTTCGAAATCAGGGCCGGCCCCTCCACCCACGCTGGAACGGGGGGTGCAGGCCTCAGCTAGCTGCCTGAACTCTGTCACCGTTACCCTAGCTTCAGCCTGGGGTCTGGTGTTGGTGGATGGGGAGGCAGCCGCCAGGCTTGGCCAAGGCTAATCTTCTGGTCTCAGCCTCCCTATTTTTTTTTTTTTTAATGTTTTATTTATTTCTGAGAGAGAGAGAGAGACAGTGTGAGCAGGGGAGGGTCAGAGAGAGAGGGAGACACAGAATCTGAAACAGGCTCCTCCAGGCTCTGAGCCATCAGCACAGAGCCTGACACGGGGTTCGAACCCACGAACTGTAAGATCACGACCTGAGCCGAAGTTGGACGCTTAACCGACTGAGCCACCCAGGCGCCTCTCACCTCCCTATTTGTAAAATGACTAACTACGTATTTTGATCTAGAGGGTTGAGCTGACTCTCTGGGCTGGGAGGGCCCGGTTGCCGTTGTCACCCTGTCCTCTTCTTGTGGCCAGGTGGCTCCTGTGCTATCTGGGATCACTTTGCCGCCCCATCCTGTGGTGTCGTCGGGTCACCGTGATGTCCTTGGTTCTCTAGAAGCTCAAAGGCCTCTGAACGTCCCAGAAGTCTACACCAGGGCCTGCTGGCCACCGGGCTGCAGCTCTCTCTACCCTCCACCTTTCTTGAAAGGGGCTCCTCCCTCTCCCAGCCGCTTCAACTGAAATCTAACTGCGCTTCTCAGGCCCGGCCTCTCCCGGTTTCTGCAATCTGAACACTACTCCCCACCAGCCTGTGACCCTAATTCCATGGTTTTCTCAACCCTTCTCCAGGACCCCTCCTCCCTCTCCAACCCCCAAGTCAGGCTTCTTTCTCCCTGCCTGAAAGCTTGTTTCTACCGTCCCCCTGATGCCACCCTGAGGACTGCATTCAGCTCCGTCTGGGACATCTCTATGCCTGGTGTCCCATTCTATCCCATTAGCATTCCTGAAACCAGATCTGGTCACAGTCACCCTTTCCCCAGGCTGGCTCGCTGGCTGTCGTGAGGCAGAGCAGGCACGGACCTCCCCGTGTGGCCTCTCAGACGCCTACCTCTCTTGTCCCGTGTGGCCCATTCCTGGTGGGCAGTGTTCTTCCCATCTGGCCTCCCTGCTTCCTAGCCTTTGCCTCCCTCCGTGCATCATGTGTGAGGACATCCGCGACGTGTTCTACAGCTGGCCCTCATCACGCAGCCTGTCCAGAGCCTTCAGGGACTTCCCGGAGCCTGACTGAGTCCCCGATGTCCATTTCCATCTTCATCGCTCAACGCACGCTGCGCTCTGGGCCAGGGTTAGCCTGGCGTTCAGGACCTCCCGGACTGGCTCCTTCCCACAGTGCTCCTACCAACCTGGGCCAGTCCTGACTGCCCGGCCATTCCCTGCATCAGGGACATCCTCCCCAACGCCCCGCCCCGATGCTGCAGGCCCAGCTCAAAGGCCTTTCCCTCCCAAGACTCAGCCTCTCCCTGCAGCAGCCTTCCTTCTGCACCTGCTGTGCTCTGGATTCGGGCCCTCAGCCCTGCCCAGCAGAGCCCAGCACAGAATGGGCAGCAACTGGCATCGCGCAGAGGGGCCTGTAGGCCCAGTACGTGGGGAAAACGAAGTGGAGCAGAGCCTCCGGGTAGAGGCCAAAAGCTGGGGGAATCCCTCGGGCCTCAGGAAGCCCTACTGGGGTCTGCACAGCAAGGCAAGAGGAGGCCAAAGCCAGAGAGGGCCAAGGGCCCAGGGGCTGCTGCGTGACCCCAAGGGCAGAGGTGCCTGACTGACCGAAGGGTGTCCTCAGCACAAGGACTGGCGAGCTGAGATGCTCAGTCGGTCAGTCCAAATGTGATGTGAAGCTTCCCCTTCTATTCCCCTCGGCTGGGGGGATGGGTCGGTGGGGCGGGAGAGGAGGCGTGGAGCCCCCTGCCCCAGCCCGGGGAGGGATTGGGCCAAGGGAGGCTGGCCCTGGATGCCCGCCATGGCAGCGGAGGGGACCCGGCACTGCCAATACCCTCTCTCCTCAGGCCCCAGCTCAGCGGTGGCCAAGAATGGTCGTGGGGCACAAAAGAACCGACACAGCTAAGTCAGGCACCATTTTTTATAAAAACGCATAGTCTCATTTTCCACTCTTTAAAATCACATTCAAAAATCGGCAAAGGAGCGCCCCCGGGAGTGAGTAGACAGGAAGGGAGGGTGCGCCAACCCAGCCCCAGGGGGAGGGGGGGCGCGACACCACACACGGCAGCGCGACTGGCACAAGGGGGCATGCGGCGGGCGGGGTGGCACCCTGTGGGCAGTGGCACTGACGGGACATGGGACTATGGGGCTGGACAGCCCGGGGGGGTACACTGACCAGCCTGAGGGGGTGGGGGCGAGGGCTGGCCCTGCCCGGCCCCTCTTGCTGTGCTGCCCGACCTGTTGAGGGTCAAGGCCAGTCACCTACGGTGCCGGGCAGATGAGGCCTCGCCCAGCCCCGGGGGCAGAAGGGGGGCCAGAGATCTCAGGGCCAGGCCAGGCCAGTGTGACACAACCCACAGCTGCCTTTCTGTGGTCCCTGAGCCCGGGCGCTTGGCAGGGGAGGAGAGGGGACTGCGGGGAGGGCAGCGGCACCTGCTGCCCATGCCAGAGCCCCTCAGCAGCCAGGGAATGTGGGAACGGAGGCGGCCAGTGACACAGGGGCTCTTCCCGGGCAAAGGGCACAAGAGCTCGAGTCACTGCGGCTGGGCCTGGGGTCAGGGAGATCATGGGCCCCTCCTCCACCGATTGGCTGGAGGACAGGACAGTGCAGGACTGCGCCCCCGTCACAGGAGGGGCTTCGGCGGGAAGATTCAAGTAGTAGCCCTGTGCCGCGGCCTCCCCTGGGCTGTGGGACGCCGGGCCACCCTGCGGTGCTGTGCGCACAGCGCGGTGCGGCGTCATCCCTGGGGAAGGGCCAGGAGGGCTGCTGGGGCCGCTGCTCCCCCGCCCCCCGCCACCACGGGAAGACACGGGGAGGGGAGGCCCCTGGAGGGTCGGGGCTGAGGGCAGCTGGACAGTGGCTGGGTTGGTGGCAGCAGGAGCCAAGGCAAGCGGGGCCCCCCCTGGGGGCTGGGCCAGGCCGGGGCCACAGGAAATCACAATAATTACAAAATAAAACCTTTTCCGCTTTGCGGGAAAACAAATAATAAAAATCCGACAAAATAAATTAGAGGTTTATAAAAGGCGGGCGGCTCAGAGGCCATTGGCGCTGCCGCGCTGGACCAGCGGCACCTTGCTCAGCTCCACCACAGGCGAGCGCGGCTTGTTCTTCATCTTGGGCACGCGCTGCACCAGCTGCTGGGCCTCGCGGTACGCGTCGCGAAGCTCCTTCTTCCACTGCACCAGCTCCGGGTCACTCTGCGGGCGCCCGGGGGGCCGTCAGGTGTTGTGGGGGGAGGCCTGGGCGCCCGAGGCTCGCGCCCGAGGCTCCCTCCCGGGCCCGCCCGGCCCACCGCCACCGGCCCCCGGCCCCACTCACGTCACACTGCAGCACGAACTGTTTGCCGCCGCGGATCTTGAGAAGGAGGCACTTCCGCTCCTTGATCTGCGTCTCCTCCACAGACTGGATCTCCTCCATGGTCAGCAGGCTCTGCTGCGGGGCGGGCGGGAGGCACGGGGAGGGGCGCTGAGGATGGCACAGGCTGGCGGCTGCGGCACTGCCCTCCTTGTCCCTCCCCCGGGCACCAGGCCGCTGCTTACCGGGGCCTCGCCCTCGCCCCGCCACTCCAGCCGGTTGGGAAACAGGTAGAAGTACCGCCGCTGCCACTGCGTCAGGAAGGGGTTGCCCATCTTGGACATGTAGCCGTGCATGATACAGTCCTTGCCCAGGGCGTAGTCTGCCGCGAGAGAGCAAGAGGCGCGCTCAGCCAGGCCCCCCACCCCCGGCCCCCCCACCGCCCCAGGGCTGGAACCTGGTTCGGCCACTCCGGCTGGGACCCTGGGCAGCTCCCCAAAACCCGAGCCGATTCCTTGTCTCTAAAGCGCCCAGTGGGTGCCCACGGCAGCCGCGAACCCTCACCTTCCTCGTGGCCCAACTGCTTGTTTTTGGTTTTCTTGCGGGCCTCCAGCCGGTCCGTCTCG